ACTGACGAGCTTTCGACCACGTCTTCTTCGACTTCGAACATTTAGGCTGTCGTCACCCTCTGCATCGGCAACTTCCCCGTCATCATCTACATGAGCGCCTCCCAGCCAATGATGCCGCCTCAAGCGACGAAGAACGGTACTAAAGACGTGGTCCTTTAACTTCGTGTTCACCATGGTTGAGCCGCGGCCTCCAAACAAAGGCGAATGCATATGGGGGAGGATATTCTCCGACTGGGAGGAAGGAAGCTCTGGTCTCTCGAATCCATCGTCCTCATCTGAAGCAGACTTGACCAGAAAATTCCTCCGGCTGGTAGGCTTCTCCGTAGGATGCAAGCCATTCATCATGGATATCTTGGGCGAATTCATTGGAGTAGGGGCTGTCAGTTCGCTGGAAACAAGAGGAGGATAGCTGGCGAGTGGACTGGGTTTCATCATGGGCGATCCAGGATCTGAGCTAGGGAGGTCAGGGCTAGAAGCCGTACTTCGGTGAAGAGCCTGTCGCTTTAATCGACGGACAGCGGGAGGTATACCAGTGGCAGTGGATTGAGAAGCAGACCGAATACGTGACCCACGAAGCATCCACTCTGGGACGATATGACGGTTGCGGTCGAGAACGACCTCTGGCATCTCAGACTGGTCTGTATCGCTCCCGTCATCGTCGTGTTTACTAATCATGTTCGGTCCATCAGTAGCTGCCTTGGGCAAGGGCGGTCTAGGCGCCTCTGTAGGACCTTCTGGTGATGGCTTGAGCTGCAACGAAGTGCTTTTTTGGGACACGACGGTAGCTGACAAGCATGACACCCAAGTATCGCGGGATGTAGGCAAGCAGTGGAGGAGCTTCTCGTTCTACCATTTCATAGAAAAGATTTTCTCTAGAGACAAGAGGCTGCAAGAAATATATAAGAGACTGCAAGAAGTCAAAGACATGAAGAGAACGGACCTTGCAAACTGCTCGCTTGGTAAATTTGTAAATGGCGCTGTGGCCACCAACTTGGTTACGAAAAGGCCGGAGAGGAATATGAGGAAGAGTGTCGTGGGAGAGATTTGGTCCCATGTCCAGCAAATAGGTATTGTCATCGGCATCTGCATATTGGCGGTAATGAGTATCCGGAGAAGGAAACGACGTCGTCGGAGAGTCATCATCAAACACGGGGAGGTGATGGAATGAAGAGGATAGATTCGGCGTATGGGAGTAGGCGGTAGAATGTGACGTGGTAGATGTAGATCCGGAGGCGGAATCCCAGCCAGACTCGTCGTCTGTGGACCAGGGAGAAAGGGAAGGGGAGTGAAATGAAGGGATTTGAGTAGGGAGTTGTGGACGTGAGGATGAGCGAGGGATGATTTCAGGGGGAGATGGTTCTTCTGGAGGAGACCAGGGAGGTATCACATTGTAATCATTTTCAGATGAATCCTCTACACGTTCTCGCCGCCGTCCGCGGTCAATGCCATCGTCCCATTTATTAGTGACATCCTTCCGCCATTGAGCAAGGTCCTGAACGGAACCCGCAGAGCTCTCGACGCTATCTCTGGTTTTGACTCTGTGTAAGGTGACTGTGCTTCTCTCTCTCCTGAGGACTGCAGCCTCGCGGTCAGGCCATTCTGAGCGTTTAACAAATTCAAACTTGGCCTCTGCGACGTCTCCGCCGTTGCCGAGAGAGGCTGATCGTTGATGATGATCTGCTGAGGGCTGAGTTTCGTTCGACTGTGAATCGTCTGCGGTTTCTTTGAAAAGCTGCAGGGTCGCTGCAACCTTTCTGCCGATGCCCGAAGATGGCGGATGAGAGGGAAGAGGTGAAGCTTTCGCAGACGATGAAGAAGATGAAGAGGCGGTAGAAGACGAATGAGCTCTTCGGTAAATCGGCCGATGACCTGCAGGGGGAAGAGTCAAAGCGCGAGACGTCTTTGGAGGATCAGACTGTTTCCGAATCGCAGAGGACTTTTCTGTGAGATATCCTTCTGAATCTGTCGCATCAGGATTCTGAAGCTTGGACCTGGGCCATTTCGCAGGGCTTGTGGCTAGAAAACTCGCGGAACGAGGCGAGGAAATAGGTGGGCTGGATGAGGACACTGGAAAGTGGAATTGGGACTGCTTTGACTGCGTGGAATCAGCAGGAGCAGAACCCATAGACTTGTAGAAATATTTTCTGTTCTTGCCAGAGACAGAACGTAAGAACTTTACAATGTCCTCTATTATAACTTTTTGTTTCTCTCGCCAGGAGTTGCGTAAAAGAGGTGTGATATCAGAGTTTCACTTGAAAGCGGTCATCGACCAATTATGGCTGACACGTGCGATGATTAATTTTATCTAATCTTTTTCACCGCGGCCAAGCTACAAACGTTGGGATTCGAGCTTCGGATTTACGATAGGCTGCATATAGCTCTGCACTTTGCTCACGGAGCTGCAGGGTGCTTCAGGCCTTCAGGGTACAAACAGGGTAAGAAGTACATACAGAGCTAGTGCGGCTATCTTTCGGCCCGAACCTTGGTTGCTACTTTCATGCTTCGTTCGCTTCTCTCCCCTTCAACAACAGCAAGATGGCTGGCAAGATCACCCCCCTCAAGATTCAGGTATCTCTCTACAAAGCCAGTACAGCCAGTGTTCGTCTTTTGCCCTCTGTTCAATCCATGACGCTCAAGTGCAGCAAAGACAGATGGCAGTACATTGACAATCCTCCCAAAAACATCCTTATAGTAAACAAAATGCGAACGCAACCCGTCATTCTAGCTATTGACGCGTTCCTCGAGTTAGTATCCTCAACAAAGCTTGGATACCGTCTAAATTTTTCACCCGTCTAGACACGTTCATTCGACGTATCCGGGCGTCAGAGTTTTTCATGAAGATAGGGCTGATATTCCCCATGGGGCCGAGGTGTGGCATCCCAGTATGTCAATCATCATTTTCGTTCCGTGGTTCATCTTGCTGAATCCGTGTTTAGAAAAACCTGAACCAATAGACTTGGTCGTCAACACTAGGTGGAGATGGTACCATCCTACACGCATCATCTCTGTTCAGCTCGGGCGCTGTTCCACCTGTGCTAAGTTTCTCTCTGGGTACTCTTGGGTTCTTACTGCCCTTCCGTACGTTCTACCTGTCCACCCGTTGGCGATTAATTCACATCCGACACTTCCAGACATTGATGATTTCGCAATAGCTCTCGAGAGCGTGTTTCAAGGCAAAGCTACCATTCTCAACCGGATGCGTTTAGCCTGTACGTTTTACAACCAAGATGAATCAAAAAAGAGCGATCAAGGGCGATGGTTTGTACCTTCCGTTTACCTCTCGATATACGAACGTTCCTCTCAAGAGTTTAAACAGACTGGCAAGTCATGAATGAAGTCGCACTGCATCGAGGATCCAGTCCGCACCTGAATACCATCGATATCTTTGTTGACGGCCAACATTTGACCGAGGCAGTTGTACGTTCCCTTCCCATTTTCATTCAACAACCTCAGACTTTTAGGCTTACCTACCTAATTTTGTAGTCTGACGGTCTTATCGTGTCCACTCCCACTGGCTCCACAGCCTATTCATTGTCGGCCGGAGGACCTATCGTCCATCCATCCCTCAGCGCGCTCGTGCTCACTCCAATTTGTCCACGGAGCCTTTCATTTCGGCCTCTCGTCTTTCCTTCATCATCCTCAATCACTCTTCGGGTAAGTTCAATATATCTAATCAAGTTTTTCCGCGTTTCTCCCTATGGATCCATGTATACACACACCTACGGAAAACTCCGTCGTCCATCTTTATCTTGCTCTGATATCCTTACCACCGTATCTAATGATGTTGATGCATGATGTCGTCTTCCGCTTTTATTGCTATTCGCCGTCCTATCCCCAGGATACTACTTACCGTTACTGTTCATTCACCCGTTCGTTCCTCAACACTGACCTCTCCCTATATACAGATTGGCGATCGCAGCCGCGCCCACGCAGGCGTCTCAATGGACGGACGAACCTCGCACGTTCTTCACCCCGGTGAATCCGTTACCATCCAAGCATCGCCCTACCCTGTACCAAGTATCAACCGCTCTTCAATCGTCATCAATAACGACCCAGACCATTCTCATTCCGTTACTGCTACCGCTGCGGCTGGGATTCAAAAAGGTCATAGTGAAGGCGCGAGACCGGGGAAAGAGGATGATTGGGTGAGGGATATTAATAATTTGTTGCAGTATAATGCTACGTTTAGGAGTAAGGCGCTGTTGAGACATAGTCGAACGTGAGCGAGGGGATGGCCGTTCAACATTAGCCACTAGTCGCTTTAGTCTGTCGGTGACGCTGTTATTTTTTGTATAGTATCTATCATCATTATCATTCAAATGTATCGTTTATGCATTCCGAAGTCGTTATTTAACGTTACAGTTGAGTATATGTCGCACCATGCTAAAAAGTCAAATAAACTTTTTTGTTCAAAAAAAAGCGGTTCGAATCCTACTGTACCCCGAACGTGGATGCTAACGTTAACGTTGACCTCGGTCTCAGTTTACCATCCATCTGTGTTCCCGACGCTCGTTTGTGTCGACATATACATTGGTGGGAACCAATGTGCATGCCAAATGATTCAACAACGCTTTACGAATTATTTTGCTTGATATTCCGAATCGGAGTCGGATTTCTAGGTGGCAACACCAGTGTGTACCTCGAGGCTTTTTACTTTTCACAGGTCCAGCCAACGTTCATTGTGGCGAGCTTACAGCTGTTTCGAAAAACGGAGGCACCTCAGTTGCTCCTCACTTCAATTCATTCACCTAAAAGCCTTACCAAAACTGAACTGCTTTCGTCACTTCAGGATTTTTGGAGTTGGCCTCCGTTTTTCGAAACAGCTGTAATGAAAGTTCAACAACTTTGAAAAGTCCGAAGCATCTAACTCTAGTGCGGAGAACAAATACTTATCCGCAACTTTTAATTACCTTCGAATTCAGCTACTTCCATTGTGACACCGCACTTAGTAAACTTGAAAAGCGAAAAAATAAAGAAACCACCTCCGACAACCTTCAAACTTCCAATGCGGGGAATCGAACCCCGGGCTGCTGTGCATACATGTAAAGCCCACAGCTAATGAAAGACAGCAATGTTGGCCACTACACCACATTGGATACCTTGTTAAGGCTTTTTACATCATAGAATCAACCAAAGTGATGACAATGAAACTTGAAATCAGATGAGAGGTGGAAGAATTAGGAGGAATTGAGGAGAGGGATGGGCCAATTTGTTTGGTTACAATGAGGAGAAGTGTGCAAGCCTGGCTGCAGGTCAAGCTAGCTTTGACCGTACTTCAAGATTTTGTTGCATTTGACATTAGCAAAATGGGGAGCTAGAACTCATTGCTGTCAATAAAGAGCTGAGAAGACCAGTATTTTGCACATGTATTCTAGAGTAATGAGAGATGTAGATGAATTCGACAGCAGATAGGCAAACATGGAAACAAGGAAGAGCATAATGATAATAATAAATATCGGAACCAGGCGTTATCTCAAAGCATCACAAGGAATAGGTAGCGGGAGGACTCAGGAGGAATGAAGGCTGAAGGTAGATGCAAGTAATCGAGGGCGCGAGAAAATCATTGGCAAGAGGCGCGTCTGCAATGGGAATAGAAAGTATTAAAGGTGAGACTATAGTATGAGTTTTACATAAATTATGTTCTCTTCGTTCAACGAAAAAAACATGACGAGTCACAGTGAAAGCCAAGAACACGCGCCGCCGAGAGTCCGTATCAGGTACATCTCATGAACATGGAATCACCGCCGCCAAATAAACCGCTGGATAGATAAGTAGTACAGGGTAAGCAGAAAACAATAGAGGTCGATAGATACTACATACACAGAAAGTACCCAGGCTTTGGAATTCCCAATGTTAATGTGAATATGAACATTGGAGACATTGATAAGACCATTAGAATAAGTATCGGTATGGTGATTTGTAGTACTGATGCTTTGAGAGCCACCGACGCTGCTCAACATACCACCGGAGATCGTGGTAGTATGGCCCGGTGAACCTCGAGGCAGAGCAAATGTTACATTACGCCTTTGGGAGGGAGTAGCCTAGCCAATGTCAGCAAACGAGAGAGCGAGTGTAAATTTTGAGGAAGCTCACCTCATCCTCGGAAGGCTCTGAATCGCTTGAATGCAAGCATCGTGAACAGTGACGGATCTTAGGGCGCTGATGTTCTGGGCGGCTCCGTCGACGCCCCCGTGCCTCTGATGCACCATAGTCATCATCCCCACTAAGCGCACTCATTGTGCAGCTCAGTAGAGTAGTCCGTAGATCGCAATGAGCAAGCTGCTACTGCGTAGACGGTGAAATGATGCAGGGAGAAAGACCAGAAATTTGGATTCAGATACGATTGGGACTGGTGTATTTATATGGCAGTTTTATCTTCTGTACAGCTGACGAGCCCTGGTCACTTATTTCCATCGACGGCCATTGTACGCTGTTAGACAACTGTTGGTGGATGTGGCGTATTAGATCTGTGAATTGGAATATAGCCATGACTACTGGAACCGAACACCTAGCTGTTCAATTGCTGTTAAAAGTAAGTTCGACCATTCCTAAGAGAGTGGTGCAGCTGACATCATGCTTCCCTGTATGTGATTCGATCCAAGCTCGAAGCTGCATAAGCTGGAATGAACATTGAGATGCATTAGGAGACTAAAGCCACGACCTTTCCCGAGAGAAAGACTGTTGAGATCGGATTCAGCCCATTGTCTTATGAGGAGATGATGTTTGCGATCGACGAAGTGAAGCTGGGGATGGATTCGCGTTGATCTGAGAAATCCAGGCTTCAAAATCTTCCACTGTTAAGATTGATTCTCGTATGTCCAAACAATGCATCGTAAATATTGGATATATCCTCCTTCCTTCCGTCCTTTTTGGATAAGTGCGCCAATCCAAAGGCAAGCGACGGGTGTTTAAATATCTACTTGTTTAATTGGCTCAAAAGACAGTGACTTCTGGTAGGCGCTTAAAGCTTATCTAGTTGTCCGCTGTCTCCTGCACCCGCCATTCCTTCATCTTTCACTTTATTCTCCGAGTCATTGACCTCCCTAACAGGACCATGGAACTGCTTTCGTCCTCTCACCACCCAATCCCCAAGCGCAAAAAGCAAAACCCCCCCAAACACTGGTCCGCCATAATTCATGGTTGTTCCAGTGACAGGAACGGACGGCGGGAAAGGGAGAAAGATGTAGATAAAGACGCCATAAACGATGGCATACAGGTTGATGAGCCATCCAAACCGGCCTAGGGTGAAGGGACCAAAATCAATCTGTTCCTTCCTGAAGCGTTTGAATAACAATAGGCCGATGGGGATAAGGTATGAGAGGTATAGTGCGAGGATGTTAAGGGAAAGAATGGCATCGAGGGCAATAGTGGAAGCAATGTTGATTAAAGAGAGGAGCATAACGGCCACAACGACGAAACAAATTGATCGGACAGGGACATTGTAGTGTGGGCTAACCTAGACCAAGCGTCAGTATGCACTTGTATCTCATAAAGGTTTGGAGGTGTACATACATAAGCGAAGAAGGGGGAAAAAGGCAATCCACCGTCCCGAGAAAATGCCCAAGTCAGCCGGGACACGGAGGCAACCATACCAAGAGTGCAACAAAAAAAGGCAATGATGAGGGCAGCCATCATCGCAGTCGCTGCCTTGGCCGACCCAGTGGCCTGGTAGAAGATTTCGATGATGGGGAATCCCGTTGGCGTATTCAGAGCATTCTGGACGTTTCCGACAGAGTATAAAAGGCCAATCACGAAACCGAAAGCCAGTACAGCGTTGATAACGACTGAGAGTACGATAATCTTTGGCACTGCGGTCGCAGCATGGCGTACCTCTTCACTCATATGGATGGCGCCATCAAAGCCAGAGAAGCTGTAGGCAACGGTGATCAGGCCAACGCACCACGAGATGCCATTACTGTAGCCTCCACTCTCGTTCACTAATTCTGTCCACACAAACTCGCTGGTGCTACGAGGTGAAAGCACCACGAGAGGTACCAGGAGCGCAATGAAGAACGCGAGATGGAGGATACCAACAAGAATCTCAATAATCGGGAGGAGCTTGATAGCAAAGACATTGACGCTGAAGCAAACGAGCATAACTGCCCACATGAGTAAGGTGGCATGCCATCGCTTGGGGTCTGCCGCATAGCTGGGGTAATTAAATATCATCAATCCTTGAATTTCAGCAGCTGTGACATATGCGGTACTGGTCACCCCAGCTTGCCAGGCAAAGACGGTGATCCATCCTACGGGACATCTTCAATAATGTTTGTTCGTGGCTTCGATTTGAACTGACCTTGCATCCATGTGACGAAATTTGCCCATTTTCGAGGTGCAAATATATAAGTCCAGTGATACTGGGCTCCTGCTATGGGACATATGGAGGCCATCTCCGCCAAACTTGCAGCTAATGCCAAGGATCCGGATATTGCGAGAAGCATGCCATATATAAGGGAAACGGGGCCGCCATTGAAGAAACCAGCAGATAAAACACTGGAAAAGCATTAAATATATTTATATCCGCCAGTGCACTCATACCAACCTGCATATGGACTCCCAGGAGCTAAGTATAGTGCTGGAGAAACCTAGCATTGCTAAGAAGCCGAAAATTCTCTGTAAAGTATTGAGCCAATGTTATATTCTGGGTATCGCAGTTGGCACATACTTTGAGCTGCGATTTTTTCCCCAAATGTTCCAAAAGGATCCCATCGTTGATTTCACTGGCAGACGCATCGTCGCTCAACTCTTTCTTTTCTGACCTGCTTTGCTGGTGGTTGGAGGCCATTTCAAGGGCTTATCGGACGTGAGACAAAACGTGGAATATCTAGACAGCATTAGTAGTGTGGAAGAAGCAAAATGAATGCGCGTTTCTATCTAGAAAACGCGTGCCGCGTAATACACTTCCTTCCTTCTTATCTTCACGTGCGCGCTGTCTTCTCCACCTTCTGGTTGATCACTCTGAATTGAGCCTATCTTTTGTATCGATTTCTTTCTCATTCGAAATGTCATCTTGGGCGTGCCATGCCTAATGGACTGTGAAGACAACGATAATTTGGCTCGAGGACTCGGGATGTGGTACATAAAAGCGGAAACTGGCGTCAGCAGTTGGAAGAGTTCCTACACCGAGATTTCCGGAGCTTCATCGATAAGTGGCACTGTATGCTCAAAATTGAATGAACTCGGGAAGATCGTGAAATGAACTGAACTCGTCTTACGAATGGATTACAACTACGATCGACAAAGCGAAGCTGGGATGAATTCGCGTCGGAGTTTTCGCTGCTGCAATAAATCTAAGCTTCGGAATTATCCACGATCAAGATACATACTTTGTTCTCGTCACTTGTCTGTGGGTCGGCACAAGTGTCGAGAAACTAATGTTTAACTTCTTCCTTGCTTCTTTGTTCGCGCACCAAGCTGAAAGCAGATCAAGGGTCGACAATAATCTGGATTAGGTGTTTAGATACTGATACTTCACCGACCGCTCTCCAGGTAATTAGAGCTTATATAGTTGGTCGATCTTTTCTGCCCCCGCCATTCCCTCCTTTTTCACCTCAATCTCTGATTCGTCGACTTCCCTGACAGGACCACGGAACTGCTTTCGTCCTCTCACCACCCAATCCCCAAGTGCAAAAAGCAAAATCGCCCCGAACACTGGCCCGGCATAGTTCATCGTTGTTCCAGTGACAGGAAGGGATGGCGGGAAAGGGAGAAAGATGACGATGAAAATGCCATAAACGATGGAATAGAGGTTGACTAGAAACCCAAACCTGCCTAGGGTGAAGGGACCAAAATCAATATGTTCCTTCCTGATACGTTTGAGTAACAGCAGACTGATGGGGATAAGGTACGAGAAGTATAGAGCGAGAGTTGTAAGGGAGACGACGGCATTGAGGGCAACAGTGGAAGCGATGTTGATCAAAGAGAGCAGCATTACGACCACAACGACGAGACCAATTGATCGGACAGGGACCTGATAGTGCGGGTTAACCTAGACCAAGGGTCAGTATAATCGCATGAAGTTCCGGATGTGTACATACATAGGCGAAGAAGGGAGAAAAAGGCAATCCACCGTCCCGAGAAAATGCCCAAGTCAGCC